ATATTCATGTTTATGCTAAAATTCATGCAAGTCATTTTACCATCTTTAAAGAAAAACAAAGAAAATGGTGATACTGTGTGTTGATTTCTTTTTCCCTCCCCTCCCCTCTCCTCTCTTCCCCTTTCCTTCCCTTCCCTTCCCTTCCAACAGGCTTTCACTCTGTTTCCCAGGCTGGGGAGTGCAGTGGTGGGTGTGATTACAGCTCACAGCAGCCTTAAATTCTGGCTCAAGTGTTCTTCTTGCTTCAGCCTCCTCAGTAGCTGAAGTTACAGGTGCACACCATCATATCCAACTAGTTTTGTATGGTTTTTTTGTGTCAGGGTCTCAACTATTCTGCCCAGGCTGATTTTGAACTCAGCCTCAAACAATTCTCCTGCCTCAGCCTCTCAAAGGACAGGGATTATAGGCATGAGCCACTATGCCCAGCCTGGGTTAAATACTATTATGAGTAGATAGACTGTTTCAGACTCGAGGAAGTCTGAGATCCACATTTTGAAGGATAATATTGCTTATGAAGAATAACTTTATTTCTATTCTTTTATACATTTTATATAGTTCTCTTGCTTTATTTAACTGGCCAGGCCTTCTAATAAATGAGAACATTAGTGCTGTGGGGAAGCATGTTTTCCTCACTCCCTGTCTCAGTGGGAGGAAGCTTCCAATTTCTTTTTCACTAACTACAACTTGTGTGGGAGACATGTTGTAAATTCCTTTATCAGACTGGATAATTTTCATTCTTTGCCTACATTTTTAAGAATTTTATCACAAACATGTATTAGATCTCCTTTTGCTTAACCTGATGATTGATTTCTAGTTGTTAAATTCAACCTTGCACTTCAGGTGCGAACTTAATTTCTCATCATGTATTATTATTCTTATTATGTATCGTTCCTGTGTCTTTGTTATTGCTTTGTTTATTATTTTTGTATCTATGTTAATGAGAGTGGATCACCCATAGTTTATCTTTGTGTGGTTTTCATGTCAAATTTATAATAGCTTTATAAATGTACTGAAAAAAGGGGTCAACAGTTGGTCTGAGACCCATTCTCCCTACCAAACGGATATCAAGCCAGAAAGAACAATATAGGAGATGGCATTGACCTGGTCAAACCCCTTGCAAACATGCACATTTGACATCCTGATGGTATTTACTGTAGAAAGAGAGAGAAAGTCACCATCTAAAAAATGCTTTTAGCAGAATACTTTTGATCTATTTAGTTTGATAATCATAAATTACCCTAGAAGTTGTGGATTTATTGGGTAGAGCCAGCTGGAAAGTGTTGTCACTTTATAACTGGTGATACACACGTGCAGTTATAAGTGCTCAGTGTTATCTATGTAATTATCACAGTAAAAGTTGGAGACATGCCTCATTAGGGTCTAGTCTTGATTTGTTCCATCTGTCTCAGGGTGCATCCTAAAGTAGTGAGAACAAGCCTAGGGAGTCATCTTGATGGTCTCAGAATTCTCCAGGCTTTCCCTGTGTCTTGCACCTGCCAGTAACCTTTGAGTTATTCATAGCGTTTGATGTGTCATACTATTTCTGATAATTCTGTGGTAACTTCAACCTCTTAAAAAGTATTTCCTCTTTTCCTCTTCTGAAGAGGAGTTTATGCAAAAAAATTTGTCTTTCATTCTCTTTCTTAAATATTTTGAAGTAGTCACAAGTGAAGCCATTTAGACCTACAGCTTTTTCCTCTTTTTCTTTGGAAAATTTTATCAGTCAGCAAGGAAGAAACATATGTTATTTGAAAAGACAGAATTTAATGTAAGAATTAATGAGATACAAAGTTGTTGAAAGTATAGAAAAGAACTCTAAATTATTAGGTAAGTAGGAACTGTAGTGCAGGAAGAAACTACCTCACCTAGGGCAGGCAGAGGAAAGGTGAGATACTGGAATTATTGACATTTAGTGATTTAAAAAAGGGGTCTTATGGGGTTGAAACACAGACCTCTTGGAGATAGTGTATCTTGGCTACTTTTCTTTTCTTTTTTTTTTTTTAATCAGAGGGGACACACCATAGGTCTGCAACCCAGAAATTTGAATATAGGGTGCCAGCATACTGATCCTGTTATTTCTAAGGAGGAGTAATGAGGGTAGTTCTAAAATTGTTCTAGATTCAGCCATCGTCATGGGAATAAGCTGATTATTGTAGGTGGCAGGCATAGCAAGCAGAGGAAAAGCAAATAGGAAGGAGTAAGTCCCTTCCTTCATGAACTTGCAGTGTCCCGACAGCAGAGGATAAAATGGAGCCAGATGGGAAATAGGAAAGTGGTTTGCAGAGTCCTAGCATCAAAAGGCTGAGTAAAAAAAGAGTTATTTTTGAGTTGAGAGATAATAATCATTGGGACAGCAAATCTTCTAATTGCAAGTTTAATTTATTTAAGAGATAGGGGACCATTAAGATATTCTTGCTTTATTAACTAGTTTTTTTGGTAGCAATTTTTCCCACTTCATATTCAATAAATATTAGTAAAATTTATAAAAATTAATATTTAAAATTTATTGGTATAAAGTAGTATATAATTCTGTCTTGGAATATTTTTAAAGACTATAGCATCTGTAGAGTTGTTCTTTTTTTTTTTTTTTTAATTCCTGGATTTCTGGTTATGTGTGTCTTTTTGCTTTCCTTCTTGATTTTTCTTTCTTTTTCTTTTTTTTTTTTGCTAATTACCTTTGTTGGCCTTTCGAAGTTGATTGTTTGTTTCTGTTGATTTTTGAATTGTGAAATTCAAAAAAATTAATTTTTGTTTATTTTCTTCCTTCTCTTTTCTTTTTTTCTTTTTTTTTTTTTTTT